TTTTCTTTCGCTCTCATATTTAGGACATAGAAGAAGCACATGTTCTACATTCTCCTCGCCGCCGAGGCCACAGTCACAGACAGACTCAGGACTCAACTTAAATCTGTTCAAATAACTTTTAAAATTCCCATGTCCAGTAAGAAACTGGGTTAATTTGTAATTTGTAAAGAAATGATGACATGACAATCTCATTTTAATAGAAGGAAAATATCTCCTAGTTAAACTCCCTTTATTTGAATTAATGAATTCGTGATTCCACGACTCCACAATGCTTTCATACATGACCTTCTTATAGAAGGAATTAGGGATATTGACAAAAGTGTCAATTTCCCGCTTAGTCGCAGTCTTAGCAAGGAGATCGGCTCGTTCGTTCCCAACAACACCTGTATGACCACGAACAAATGAAAATGAAACCGAAATATTTTTATCCTTTAGATTTTCAGTTCTTTTTGAATCTCGATAATGATATTATTAGAAGAAGAAATACATTTTAAGATCTCCAAGGATGAAAGGGAATCAGTACAAATGAGATAGTCTGAAACAGCACTATTTTGTTTTTTTTAGAGACCCATTTGACGGCGAAGTTTAAGCACAAAAGTTCAGCTATGAAAAACGGTACATTCATCTCTGATTCTAAATTGAAAGTGCTCAAATTCAAGACCATTTTTGAAGACAACAAATGCGAGACCAACCTTGCCATCAATTTTGCTGCCATCAGTATAGCAAGTTACAGGCGAATCACCTACGAATTTTATTGCTAAACTGAATAAAATTAACAGCATTTCTTTCTGAAGGATGAGGGAGATCAGATAGAGGTAAAATACAATCATACTGAGAGACAGTAGAAGCAGAAATATTTTCCTTATAAGCAATAGAATGAAGAATGGCAATGTCAATTGGAGGAAAGCCAGAAATTGCATAAACAGACTCATAGCTTACGGTACGATATCCACATATGACCCGCAGAAGTATCCGTCCTTTGAACACGTCGTAAATATCTATAATTTATCTTCTTCTTGAGCGATATACCCCAGACTCTAGAGCCATACATAATGAAGGGTGCAATTCCTTGTTTATAGATGAGCGAATGAACGTTGTAATTAATACCGTATGTGTTGCGTGCAATACGACTTAATCCACGCTGTAATTTATCACATTTCTCTGATACATAAGTTAAGTGTTGTTTCCAAGAAAATTTACAGTCAAGAAAAACCCCAAGATATTTCATTTGCTTTACCACAGTCAAAGGGGTGCCATCGAGAGATAACTGAAATGCATCATAACAGATGTTTCGCTTTTCAATAATCATAACCCTGGTTTTATCAGGATTAAAATCTAATTTAAAACCTTTTGACCAGTTGGAGGCGAAATTTAAAGTCTCTTGTGCCTGTAAAAAAGTAGCAGAAAGGTCCCTACTCTGGAAGCAAAACAAAACATCATCTGCAAAGGCTATAGTATCACAACAAGCAAGATTTTCCAGTTTTAATAGGAGATCATTAATAATAATATTCCAAAACGTAGGTCCTGAAACAGAACCTTGAGGGCAACCCCTTTCAAGGTGACGGATTGCAGAAGCCGAGCCCAATTGCAATTTGGCCGCCCGATCATTTAAAAAATCAGCAGCAAGTGAAAAAATATTCATTGGAAGTTCTACTTTTTTTCAGATTGAGAATACAAGGCCACCACGCATAGTCGAAGGCGCCCTTAATATCCAAAAAGACCAAAATAGTGTGCAAGTTTTTCTTTTTTCCTCTCTGAACAATTTCATTTAAGCGTAAAAGAGCGTCTTCAGAACTTTTTTGAGGTGTAAAACCATACTGATTACCAGAAAGAAGGTCTCCATGACGGAGATACCAGCAAATTCTGTTAATAAAAAGTTTTTCCAAGCACTTACCCAAAACAGGAAGTAAGCTTATACATCTAAGGTTATCTAGGTGAGGAATCCTAGACTCATTTCCTTTAGGAATAAGAATTACTTGAGCATGTTTCCAAACACGTGGGAAAATGCCAACATTTAGGCAAACGTTAAAAAGTTTATGGAGAAATTGAGGAAACATTAAATGAAACTGTTTAATAATCTCATTCGAAATAGAGTCAGGACCAGGTGATTTATTTGGTTCCAGCATAGAAATAACTGTATTAACTTCATCACAAGTAAAACATAGGAATCTACAAAAGAAGAATAAGCAGTACGCGCAGCTTGACGGTATTCCTTATGCAAATCATCATTAGTTTTCTCTAGATCCGAGGGGAAAGATTTCTGAAGCACAGCAGTAATTGTCTCTTCTAAAGAGTTGGTTGTCTCTCCAGTGGAAAGACAAATACCAGTTATTTCAACTTTTTTCATGAAATCTCTTTTAACTCCATACGTGTAAATCTTTTTCCATACATTGTGAACATCAATGGTCGAAAGAAATGTTTTCCAAGACTGAGATTTAGCATCGGCAAGCTTTAGATTGTAAACTTTTCTATATTCAAGATATTTACTTTTATAAAGTTCTCTAAGAGGCGGATTTTTACAACGCTGAAATCTACGCCTAGAGGCATTAAGCCTCTTTCTCATACAAAAAATTTCGGCGGCAGACCACCAAGGAACATTGTGCTTACCATGATTCCTAACAGGTATGGAAATTTGAGATGCCTGGAGAAGAACAGAACTAAAATTCTCAACAAGAGTATTTAGGCGAGAACCGTCAGTACAGTCGTTAAGAATATCAATGAAACGGGTGATGCGAGAAGAACAAAATTTTCGAAAACGATCCCAATTTGCTTTCCCTGTATTGAAGATTTTAAAAGGAACATTTGAGGTGTCTCGTAAGAACGTAGAGAGACAAAATTCAAATTCAATCATCATGTGATCAGAAAGGGATTCTTTTTCAGACAGCCGCCAACTCGAAACATCCTGGAGAAGATCTGAACCAATAACAGTAAGTAACATCAATATAACTAGAACCCTGAGTTGCCTGAAACGTAGGTCCATAATCTTCATTAATAACAAATAGGTTGTTGGCAGAAATAAATTCACTCAGTTTATCTCCACGAGAGTCTGAATAGGGACTAAACCATAATTCAGATTTGCCATTAGAGTCCATACACCAAACCAGTCGATTAAGATTTTTGGACATAAAGACTTGACTAATTTTATGAAGGTCTAAGTCAATGTTTCTTGAGGGTTCAAAATAGTATGAAAAAAGAGTGAGCACAGTTGAGCCAACAGTAATATCCAAGGTGACCATATTATAATCCATATTTTTATAATCAAGAAATGTTGATAGATCACGTGATCGAATAATGATTGCCGCCTTTACATTGTCAGAATTAGGATCACAATAAAGTCTATAAGTGCCAGGATATCCTGGAAGAAAATTCTTGTAATAATGAGGTTCCTAAACCAAAGCACAGTCAATATCATCAGCTTCCATATTTAAAATTAGCTGTTGTGTCGCAGATTTGGATTTATGAAGATTTAATTGCACACACTTTAGAACGCGTCTAGCCAATCTAGCCATAATCAATTCGAGATTGAATGTTCTTTCTCATAAATTCATGACTAGGACAGCATTCTGAAAAGGGCTTGTGATTAACATTCACTTTTTTATAGCTGTTTATTTGTTTTATGATTGAAGCGGATGCAATTTATACAAGCTACAACAGCATTCCTATTCGAACAATCCCTTGCCTTGTGTTCTCCAGAACAGTTAAAACAGGCTGTTCGCTCACGACATTCATCAGCACGATGGTTGTACCCAAGACACTTAAAACATCTATTGATGATAATAAAATCGTCAGTTTCACATATACTCCAATTAATTTTCAACCTGGCTTGATTCAGAATACGTTTACGAACCATGGGGTGCGTTTCAATCACAACGTGCCTCGTGAATTGGAAGGTTTTTAAAGTAAATCGAACTCTACACATACTTCTGTTTTCATCAGATTCAACAACTTCGGAATTTTGTTCAAAAATTACTTTCAGAAGATCTTCATTGGGTATTTCATTTGGCACACATTTTACAAGTAAAACAGGATTCCTCTTTTTTGGTAAGGACGTGTTTATTTCCGGAGCCTTTTCATTAATCTCGACTTGAAGTCGATTCCGATCATTTTCTGTCAAACATTTAACCAAGACTTTATCTTTTCCAATATTTTTTAAAGTATATACACCTAACTTAGCTTCTAATGGATTAATTTTTAGTTTAATAACTTTCTTAACATCGTCAGAAGAGCAGTTTTCAGAGTCTACAATTAAACAACAATCCGAAGAAATCAAGGATTTTTTATTAATCCTTGTAACATCAGATGGCGCCATCACACTAGCATAACTAGGTCTTGAAATGGCATCTTTCAAACTTTCCTTACATGCATCCATAAATTTAACAGCTTTGATACGTTCAAAATTTTTATAAATAGAAGATTTCAACTCACCCAAAGCCTGCCTGGCCTCCTCGGGAACCTGTTGATTCATATTACATTTAGATTGAAGTGCTGATTCAATAATTTTACAGTGTTTTTCAAGAGCATCGTAAACTACACTACATTGATTCATGATTTGATGCCACATCTTTTAATAGCCAAAGTACTTTGGCTATTATTAAATGCAATTCTTTAACAACATTTGCTCTTTATATAACAGTAAGTATCTATTATTGTTTAATTTATATAATGAAGAAACTGAAATGAATTGGAAAATGTTAAAAAGACTACGGAAATTTAAAATTATTTATTTTCTTGAAATGTATATTTTCAACTGAAAAAAAAAATAATAAAACATACTTGAAATTAAAAAAATTTGATGATAAAAGATAAAAACTGAAATGAAATTTGAATCCTGTACATGATTACACTGAAGTTGAAAATAAACTGTAATATTCTGACATTTTAGTAAATCAGATTCTTAATTAGGCTTTGACTGAAAATGTGCAAATTCTCTTTGTTAATACATTAATAAAAGAAACTGAATTTTAAAACCATATATATGATAAACAATTTTAAAGTCTCACTTTTTGGCTAATCTTAGGACAATCTGTCGCTTTTTTATCCTAGGTCTACCTGAAGCTTGACCAGAAAGCAGTTGAACCTAGAACATTGCCATAAATATATATTTGTTTTGATATTCAACCCTTATATATAAAATCAATAAATAAACGTTATTATATACAATGTATATAACTTAATTATCATATTTTAAAAGAAAAAATATATCAAACATGAATTTTCCGGATAATAAAGGCAACTTATTTGCTTCTATTAAAAGCATTAACAAAATAAACCCTGATTTATCTTGCAGATTTTGCTCAATTTTATTTGCAATGCATTTATTATGCACTCAGCACTCATTTATGCTTCATCTCTTAAAATTACTGACAATTCACACATGACAAATAATTTTTAAACTAGAGATGATTATATCTTAAAATTCATTTTTTATATAGACATTTTATCTCTTCCTCCCCCCACAATTTTGTGTGTATTTATATATGTTTACTTATATATATAGTTACATATAAGGAATACATGAAATGGAATTCTCAGAATTTTTATATTTGTCGACTTTTAGCATTTTAATTAACTGTATTTCTCTTCCCAAACCATCTTAATCCAAAAAACTGAAAGATATGTAAAAAGAAACATACACAAAATAAATTAATGAAATATTTCCAAATTTTGCTGCAGAATTAAATTTGGTACTTCCCAATTATCCATATCCTCCGTTCCAATATTTGGTAGATTTTCAGTATTTTTGGCATATTTTCGTGCAACAGCCAACTCATGTATGCATGCATATCACATGTATGAATAATTCAGCTATCAAAAGAAAAAGGCGTTCTGAAAAAATTTTGAAAACTACACTTGAACAGTTATCCACCAGCTACTTAAATGTAAATATCGGTCATAAAGAATTTGTTTGCTTTTCTCGTAACAGTTTTGCTTTTTTGTAAAATTTTTCTTTTTATTATCATTTATGAATACAGTAGTTATCATAAACCATAAAGATAGCTAAAAAAATGTTTTTCATCTATTTACAAAATCATTAATGAGTTACTGACTTTTTGTGGAGATAAGAATAATCAGAAAATAAATAAAATTTATGACATAAGGTCTATTAAATTTTTAAAAATTTGTTAAAAGAGATGGAAAAAAGTAAAGAAATCGGAAATTCTAAAAATCAGGTCTGAATTTCATGTTTGATCCTTTTAGTATTTACGTAAAAAATATATCAAGTGCAATTATATTTAAATCCATTTATTAAAACTTAATCATAACAGAATTTTATACTTAAAATGAAGTAAATAAAATATAAAATAGCAGCATAAAATAATGTCACCTTTCTTAACATTTTTCTTCCATAAAACATCACTTTATCTCTCTTTCGAAACCGTGGTCTTGTCCCCATCATTTTGGCAGCCACTGTGTCAACTACTACAAATTAAAAAACATACATTACATACAAAAAATTCTGTTGCTCATTATTACAATGATGACTATTGGTTCAATGATCCCAAGCAGCTTCTTATTATTATAAAAATTTTACTATAAAATAAGAAATAAATTTAAAATATTCAAATGTTGTGATATTTTTATGTAATTTCTTTTGTAACTTAAAAAAATTTTTTTTTTTTTCACTTTTAGCACTCTGTACATTTTTGTTCTACTGACTACCAGCAACTGGGCACATTTTTGCAGAGGAACATCTGAGAAAGAAAGGTCTTTTTGTGCAGAAAGAATGACAAATGGTTCTGAATGTTTTCAGTTTGATTTTATAAATGTGCATATTCTTCTGCAAGTGAAACATAAATTATAAATTTTGTAATTCACCATCATGCGATATCTTTGAAAGTAATCCCCTATGTACATTTTCGGTATATTTGGGCAAGTGTCAAAGTACTTGTTAGTTGATATCTGCCATCCTTTTGTTTCCTTTTTGAACACACAACACAGTCCCTCTTTCCACCTTTCCTGATTATATGCAGTTTCCTATTTAATCTTGTCTCAGAAGTTGATGTAAAAACTCTGGCTCTATCCAGACGAAAATCTCCTATGAGCTGACTGACTAAAATTTTCTGGATGGACAAGAAGATAAGACTCATAACAACTGCCAACACCCACAATCATAATCATGTGATCTTAAGCATAACCATGGTAAAAATTTTAAGCATGATCATATTAAAAACATTCGACTCCACAGGAGTTACAACACAAATGAGCAATATCTCCGTACCAGAGCCAATGGAATGTTAAAGGTTAATATATTTTTTGGCTTGTTTTAATACTTTTTCTCTATATATTTCTATAATATATAGAGTCAATCAGAATAAGGAACTGCCATATCAAGAATAGAAAAGAAATGGGAAATTTTTTGTAGAAATTTGTTGGAACTTAAGAAGATTAAAATACCATGATTTGCATCCATGATCTCCATGGCTTTCCCAGAGCCACAAAGGAAGCATATGGAGCCATTATTTATTTCAGTTGCTTGAACGGCAAGGGAGAAATTAAAGCAAGCCCCAAATTAAGAATCGCTCCTGCAAAAGAAAATAACTCTTCCACACTTTAAGAATTGTGCAGTGCTGTTAGCAAAACTGGTAAAAAAGGTGACAGATGCTCTAGCGTTAATGCTGATAGAGCGTTCCTTTACATAGGCTAAACAATTGTTTTGGCTTCGATCATGAAACAGCTATCACAATTGAATTTATTTGTCAAAAATCCTTATACAGCTCAAAATCCGGACGTCCATTATCCGGAATGATCTAAAATCCGGACCTCAAAGAACAGAAAAAAAATTTTTTTGGTATGCTTTATGCATGCGCATTTGATTTTTCCTTTCATAATAAAATATGTGGAGATTTTTACTTAAAAATTCTGATTCTTAATTTCACTTATGCACTAAATAAAATACCTTGTTATGGAAAAACAATTATGTAAGCATAAATTTGCGAGATTAATAATTGGGTTCCATAGCCAAGTATCTGCTTGGCATAAATCTCAAACCGAAACATTCACCTATTTTATATCCCTGATGCCGACCTGGCGAGTCATTATTTATTATATTTTGCTTTCATCACCGCATATTTATCAATACATGACAGCTTCAGTAATAACTCATGCAGTGATGTCTAAACTTTTTTTATATTAGGAACTGAATAACAAGAGTATGGCAACCTTTTATGCTAACATTACACTTGGCAATGATTATAGATTTTTAAATGCTATAAGAAATGTTGACGAGGAAAATTTCAACAAAAATTTCTTTTCATATGCTAAAAATAGATTTTGTTAATGAAACTCATAGGCCAAAAGATTACATTTAGTGCTGTTTTAATTAAGAATACCTGATATGTTATTCACCATAAACCCAGAAGTGGCAGCTGAATATATCGGCACAGGACAGAAGAATTTAAGGAAGATGAAATTTTTGGAATTTGGGGAAGCACCGAGCAGCAAAATTAAGGGATGAGAAGTTTTTATGATTTAGGTCAGTGTTTCTCAACCACCGGTCCACAAGAAATATTTGCCGGTTTTCAAATTTGTTGGATATTTTTGTCTTCATGATTTTTTAATGTGAAAAAATTGTGCCAATGGGTCAAATTATTAAACTTACATGTCCGAGAGAACACACCAAAATATTTTACCAGTCCTTGGAGTAAATCCAGTTGAGAAACACTGATTTAGGGAAAGCTTTGGGATCCAAAGTTTAGGCGTGGTGAAAATTTAGAATTTAGGAAGGTGCTTTGTAGCAGAATTTAGGACCCATAAAGACTGCACCAGGCGGTATCTAGCGCCAGCCCTAGATAAAGCCTTAAATATATGTGGGAGTTTATTTATTCAAGACTCAAATTAGTTTTAAGCATGTGCAAGAAATAAAAGTAGGTACAGTAAATAATAAACTAATATAATTCAGGCTTAATTCAGTACGCAATACGTGCAAGACAAAATTTAGCGAAACAACTTGGCTTTCATCACCAATCTTGTGATACACAGCCAATAATGTATAATGGACGCTATTAAGCTAGGCTAAAATTATCTTTACTGATTCTAAGGCATTTCAGTTAGCACTGCGCTGCTCCCTGATCTTCTAATTTGATCCAGCTTATTATTTTTTACAGACTGTTATTATAATGGACTGTTATTGCAGACTGTTATTTTATAAAAACTAAGCTTGAACTTTTGATTATGTCGAAAAGAGTTTCCAATTCTGGAGCTGCCAAAAGATCTACAAGGCGAAACCATGTTTCGATGTCTACTAAACAAAATGTGTAATTGCTGCAAAAAATGGATAAAGGCATATCCATCTCAAAATTGTGCGAGGAGTATAGCAATGGAAAGTCAACTTATATGACACAAGAAAAAAAAAAAAAAGGAAATTTTTGAATTTTTGGTGGAAGCAACTTAAACAACTTACACAGAAAGAAATGTTTAATAAAGTAAACAAATAAATATTGTTGCATGCGTACGGGTTCGTTATGAAATGAATGCACAAATCCAATGAAAAATGAACAAAAATTTATTATCACAACAAAAATGCTTAAATTTTCTCAAACAGTATTACAATATCTCACAGTAGTTAACGTTTAACTACTCAAATATCCAATAGAACGTAATTCAAAACAGCTAAAGAACGCTAATCTGCGAATTCGCTACAATTAACAAGAGCAGTTTTCTAAACAACAACAAACTAAGCAACTACTACAAACTGAGATGTTTTCCTCCTTTTATAACATTTTAAAATCACGTGCTAGAATTTTCCAGTACTTTCTTGAAATGAAAAAGAGTTATTTATTTATTTAATGCACGCACTCTTGTATTTTCAATTTTCCGGCTTTCCTTTCTTTTAATATTCGTCATGCGCTGCACTGCGCGAGAAATAAAACCATTTAATTTATAATTGAACTAACATTAGCTTTTTAAATACCAAATTCGTAACACAGCCCCCTTCACAAGGACTGCACGTCCCGGGCAGTACAATCTCTGGACAGGACGCTAAACTTACAACTATGGCATAAACATTACATTACAATATCAAACAACATGAACAATAAATGCAAAAAGTAACTTGAACAAATCAAATGCTATCAAATACTAAATACAAAAAAAATCAAATACACATTTAAAAACAAAAAGGACCATGGTCTTACACTATTTACAATTATTTACATTACGTACTATGGCCATAGTAATGAGCTAACCTGTCGTAATCACCGACTTTAGGTTTAGAGTTCGAAGAATTACGGAGACGTCATTCAGTCTGTTCCGCACTGTACATGGACCATCCGAAGGTGACTGTAGTTTAGGACTGAGTCCTTTTCGTTGAATCGGGTTCTACAACCTCACCTTGTCTCCTTTGTTGGATCTATGTCCAGTAGCTCTCGTGTTGTATCTGGTCTTCACTTTCTCCGTCGCCAGGTTGACTCGCTTTCGTGCGAAACGGGGCATCACTTCAAAACGGGCCTGGACATCTTGGATGTGTTCCTCAGGCGATGAAGGCGCATCCATACGGCGATCAAACAGGCGGTCACAAGGCAGACGAAGGTCTCGACCGAAGAGCATCTGGGCTGGAGAAGAGCTGGTAGTCTTGCGTTTCTTTTCGACCCTAGTATGATTTCGGCAGCTTCCCGAGCTGGATCTTTCGGACAAGGCGTCGGCATTTCCAGGCGAGGATCCTTTTTGAGGATGGATAGTCATGCCATCAGATGCTGAAAGCAGTTTGTTGTTTTACAAGTCTAAGGAAAAATTGTATTTCCTTAATAAGTCCAATCCGAGTATGCATGGATCTGTGATATCCGCCACATATGCCGCGTGATGGTAGGCGGCACTTCCAAACGTGATGCTTACGTTTAACTTCCCAGTTATGTCGATCTTATCACCAGACGCAGTCTGAAGGGTAACACAGGATGGCGTCCAAATAAGTTTATCTTTAAACTGTTCAGCTAAATCTTTCCTAATGATGGTAACATTAGCTCCTGTGTCAATCATCATATTGCAAGGAACTCTATCGATATTCCCATTAATGGACAGTCTGTTACTGTTGCCACTCACTGTATAAATTTTAAGCGCTTTAAAACAAGGTTTCTCATTCTCTGGTACCCTCCGTTCCTCGATATGGTCATTCATTTTGTTTCCTGCGCCGTTGCTGAGAAATGGTCTCAATTTTCGTCCCCTGGGGTGTTCTGCAATTCCTTCGTACGTGGCCTTCAGTTCCACAGTTCCAGCATTTTGGTTTCTTGTCACTCCTTTCTCGTCGGAGGGCATTTAATTGTCTGTTCAACTCGTCTGTCTTATTTTCCGTGCTCTGGGGAGTTCTGCAGTTCTTTCGCACGTGGCCTCCAACACCGCAGTTCCAGCACTTAACGGTCGGTTTCTTATCACCAATATTCCGTCTCAAGGCGTTGAGTTGTCTAGTTAAATCGTCTAGACGAGCAGTG